TTATCTGTGACATTATACACCAAATGCAGTTAAAATTGTGGCAATATTCTAAGAGATTTTTAAATTTAAATTTTACTTAATTCACAAACGGACCATGATCTACCATCTTTCGGTTCGCTCCCCACATGCCCACTACAGCCAGGTCTGGTCTAGGCCAGGTCAACGCTGGAAACCGGGAACTCAACAAGCATCCCATTCCATAATGGTGTTAGGAACCCACCCACCTGAGCCATCTTCAGCCTCCCCAGGGAAAACACGAGCAGGAAGCTGAGGCCAGAAGCTTAGGCTGCACTTGAATACAGGCATACCAAGTACCATCTTAGCCTTTATGTCAAATACATGTCATCTAAATATTTCACATTCAGATTTCCTCCTCATGATTCTCGTGATTCCAATGGTATGTGGACATTTTAACAAAAGTGTTTCAATCCAGGAATAAGGGAAACAAACCATTTTCTGTGTGGCATATTCAACTTGTTTGATAAGTGCTTTGTAACTTACCATTCAAGAGGTCAGTCATATCCCTGGTTAAACTTATTTAAGATGCTTTATAGCCATTATAAATAGGATAGTCCTCAAAAATTCTTCTCTCAGGGAGTTTAATTATTGCTATTTGAAAAAAAAATGGTTCTCATGTGTACGTGTGTTGATTTTGAATCTTTAAATTTAATCTGTTTTTCCATTCTATCAATAAGATCCCTGTTACTGGGATCTTTAGGTGTTTCTCTATATAGAATCAAACAAGTGTCAGTTCCAGTTCCAGCTGCTTCACTTTCATCCAGCTCTCTGCATATGGCCGGGAAGGCAGCAGAGGATGCCCTATATCCTTGAGACCCTGCACCCACATGGGAGACCAGGATGAAGCTCCTGGCTCCCAGCTTTGGGTCAGCTCAGCTCTGGCTGATGTAGCCATTAGGGAGTGAACCACCAGATAGAAAACATCTGGAGAAGGGTCTGAAATCTTTTTAAAAACTTGCCTTCAAGTTCAGATATTCTTTGTTCTGTTTGATCTAGTCTGGTGAGGTTTTTAAATGTACTTATCAGTTGACTTAGTAAATTCTTCAGCTCAAAATTTCTTTCTGGTTCTTTTTTCAAGATATTTATCACTTTGCTGATTTTCTCATTCATATCATTTTCTGATTTATGAATATTGTGAATATCTTAAATATTCTGATTATTCCTCTGAATGTTTTCTTAAGCATTTTACAGTCTCCCTTTCTTTGTAGTTTGATATTAAGGCATAGTTGCATCCCTTTGGGAACATCATATTGCCTTGATTTTTTTCAGACTCCTTGTATCTTTACATTGAGTTTTGCCCACCTTTCTGAAAAATATGTCTTATGGCATCAGTGTGGTAAACTACTTTGATTTTAATTCCAGTTAGTTTCATAATATGTCTTCCCTATACCTATTTCTCTGCAGATAATAGCAGCAGCAAAGTCCACTGCAAGGTCCATGAGGATTTCTTGGACCCCGACACACAGTTCTCCAATCAGTGCATGTGCAAGTATCTGAAGTCACAGGACTGGCCCTCTCATGGACCCCCAAACATGCAGAGTCCTGGCCTCCATCCCTATGACGGCCTAAAATCACAGGACCCACACTGACCTTAGGATGAACATACTGACTTCTGGGACCTCTGTGCACATTTCTGAAGTCACAGGACTAGCTGACAACAGGACGGGCAAGGTGTTGAGACCCTCAGCTGCTTACATGTGAGCACCCAAAAGCTGTGAGATCCTCATCAGTGTTGAGTTTGGGGATACAGGGTGATGCAGATTGCCAGATTTGGTCCATGGAAGGATCTGAAGCCAGAAGACTGGCTGTTGCTGCTGAGATAAATGGGACACAAATAGTATGTAAGAGCCCAAAGGAATGGGATCTGAGTTGTACTAGGTTGAGTGGGATGCACAGAACCCCATTTTCTGTCTGGATAAGGACCCAAAAGCAGAAGCAAAACTGACATTGTGAGGCCAGGTACTTTCAGAGCAAGGTTCTAAGAACATTCAGTTTGGAGCAGTAGTGAACAGACTGAGCTGATGTTATTAAAAACTCTGACCAGCACTCCTGGTATGATATCCAGATGTCAGGGGAGCAGCAGGATTCAAACACTGGGATAAGGAGAGGTAGAGGGGTATAGACCTAAGTCTGAGGAGCCAGTTGCCTTCCTAAGGTCCTGGAGGCAGGCTCTCTCCAGTGTTCTGCAGCCTCTGTCTTGGGTAGTACAGACACTAGGGTGCCAAGTTCACCATTTCTCTGCAAGGTATGTAAGGCTGGAATCTTGCTTGCTAGCATGGTGGAATGTCTGTGGGTTCCAGGGACAGGAACCAGCAGTGGCTGCTGTCCCAAGGCAGTAGGGATTCAGATAGTGACTCCCTTATCAGGATGGTACCACACTGCACAGCCTGTGCTCTGGAATGTGTTGGTGCTATAAAGGAAGCTAGTTCTCCAAACCAAAGGAACCAACCATGAGCTCTCCAGGAACCTCTCAGTGAGCTCCTAGTCGACTGTGCCTGTGGAGTCCTCCAGTAAGAGAAAGACTGAGGTGACAGTGTAATTGGGATTTGTTGAGTCCTTTCGTGATCCTGACATCTACAATAAAGATTCCATTGTCAGCTGGCTTTGATCCTCCAACATGCCATCTCATGGTCTCTGTTTCCCTTGCCAATTTCCCCTACTGCATTCTGGTGTGCCTCCCTTGGCATTCACCTTGTGATGCAGGTGTTGGAGAGGAGGTAAACACTGGACATGTCTATTCAACCATCTTGGAAGTCTCCAAAGCCATGAGAATTTTGTTAAAACTTGCATTAATACACTTCTGACAAATCTGACAAAAGGATGTCCTCTTCCAAGAGTTTGCTTTTGGCTGACAAAATAATGACATCCTCAGCTGACCCAGCTTGCTGTAGGGCATTTGCTAAAAAATTAGAAGAATCTTAATTACTAGTAGAAATGTCTGTAAAAGTATTTTGAGCTCTAGCAAGCAAACAAAACTAAAAAGACAAGGGGCTGGTACTGATAGGCAGTAGGCTAACCCTCCAATCTGTAGCACCAGCATCCCCTATGGGTGCCAGTTCATGTCTTGGTTGCTCCACTTTCACTCAGCTCTCCACGTAATGCTTGGGAAAGCAGTGGAGGATGGCTCAAGTCCTTGTGACCATGCACCCACATGGGAAACCTGGAAGAAGCTTCTGACTCTCAATTTCAGATTGGCTCAGCTCCAGCTATTTCGGAAGTGAACCAGAGAATGGAAGATGAACCTCTCTGTCTCTCCTTCTCTCTGTAAATCTGCCTTTCAAATAAAAAAATAACTAAGAAGACCAGATGTCCAAAGTCACTGTGTTCTTAATGCTTCACTGAATAAGCAGAAAATTTCAAAATGTATGCAAACACTTGGCTAAACTCATTCTTATTATGCTATTAATGCTAAATAGATCTAAATGCATTCCTTCAGCACTGAAGGATTACTAAGACTATAATAAACTGAAGGAAAAAATTTCTTTCTGCATTAACAAGAGGGGTCAAGAGACTTTTAAAAAGTCATCAAGAATACCTTTTCCAATTTTGTTCCAAGGTTGAGCAAGCAAAAGGTACAGCTGTTGTGTCACTCCTCAAATGACACAACAACTGTGGCTGGACCAGGCTGAAGCCAGGAACCAAAACTCAATTCAAGTCTCTCACATGAGTGACTGGGATCCAGCCACTTGAGCCAGCACCTGCTGCTTTCCAGGGTCTGCATTATCAGGAAGCTGAAAGCCAGAGCCAGAGCCAAACGTGAGCCTCAGGCACTGTGTTTTTTATTTTGTGCAGGCAGCATAGGTTTTGAGTTGCCTTGTAAATGATGAAGGTCATTTTGTCTGCTGAGTGAGGTGTTGGCTGCCAGCTTTTAACATTTTTTCTCTTTAATAAGTAATATATCCTCTCCATGACCTACCTTCAATGTGTTCTTTTAGGTCTTGTTTCTTAATAGAGTCATGGTATCCCAGTTTACACAACAGTTGATAAACTCTGTTGCTAGCATTCATTTTTTTTGATGCTCATATTGCATCCAATGATACCAGTTGGAGCCTTTTCAAGGTTTTTACCTCTAACACATCATCGCCTTTCTTACTAACTAAATGAATGCTACTCCAGGTTTATCTTGCACTTTTTCTATCATCCTAGAACTAGCCATTTCTCTCCAGATCCTGGTTCAGTCTAGTGAATGTCAACCAATAAGTCTCATTATCTGATGTATGTAGTAACCGAACAAAATCAGGGGCTCTATGTATATGTTAGCATATATTCACACACACACACACACACACACACACACACACACACACACACCATGATTTCACACAGACACCTCCAAGTTGATCCAACCACATAATGTTCACTTCCTGCCTTTTTACATTTGTGATTTCCTTCTCCACAGACCACACTGCTTATTTGCTAAGTTCACAAATGCCAACCATGTGAATACTTTTCATCCATTCAGTTATTGACACTCTACACTGGGGCTACCACCCCACACATAGAGTTTCTTACCCTACTGACATTCTCCTCCTTGTCCTGAGCACCTGCATAGGCACTCTCCCCTCCATCCTGGCTCACACTTTGCACTGGCTCTACCCTATGCAAGGATGTCCTCCTCAACCAAGCCAGACTGCTCTCATCTTGACTATCCAAGCCAGGCTGCTCTCATCCGCTGACACCTTCTTCAACACATGACTCCCACAATGTGCACTGTACCACACCCTGCACACCCCCAGGATTGGGCATCAATATCCAATTTCCCCTCTTCCACACATTCCATAGTTATATTAGATATTTACTGCTCAAATTCATATGTTGGAATGCAGAAAATAAATCTAGATGAGAAAAAACTTATTTTAAGTGTTAGCTGGTTATCCAAGTCAGTTTGTTCTTTTTAAGGAAACCTTTCATGAGCCATTTGAAAATGAAGCAAAACAGAAACATAGTCACAGATACCTAAACGACTCCATGTTTGATCTTACCCTTGAGAAGATATTTTCCAGGGAGCTAGTTAGGGACCTTTTAGCTTTGTTTTTCAAGATGTCAAGTTTAAATCTTCCACTGCTTGTTGCATTTTCTGGGACTGTGCTGTTTGAAAAAGTCTAGAGGAAGAAAAACACAAAAAGTTTAGTTTCGACATATTCTCAAGGTTAAATGAGGCTTTAAACACAGGCTTAAGATCAAGCCATTACTTTCCACAAGAATCCTCCAGGAGCTCTATTAAGAACTAATAATTAAGGTTCCACACTGTGAACACAAAGATTATAAGGGAAAGAGCTTAAGTTCAATACAGCAATAAAAGAAATAAGGTCTTTCTTTTCATGCCTTTCCTTTCTACTAATATATTCTTGCTACATTTAAAAATATTAATCTTGAAGTGTCAGTTTTTACTGCTGTTACTTTGACTAATGACTGTAATCCTTCTTTTCCAAGGTACATGTTTCCTTTCCAAATTACTTACAAAACAGTTAATAAGTACCAAAGAACAAAGCATCTTCCAAACAAAACTGCATTGTGCTAATGCCTTTATTGTACAATTCCACTTTGACTTGTGAGTGGGTCATTTCTCTTATAGGTGAGCAAGTAAGTCCTCACTGATAGTGCTAATCTGTAGGAGGAAATGGGTATCTGGCCTGGTGGTAAAGATGCCTGCATCACACCTTCTAGTACTTGGGTTTAATTCCAGCCTTCGACTCTTCTCCCCGCTCATGTAGATCCTGGTAGGCAACAGTGATGGTTTGAATAATTGCATCCCTGGCACTCACGTGGCAGATTTAAAACTGAGTGCTTACCTCTCAGCTTCAGTCTATCCCAGTCCTGTCCACTGTGGGCATTTCAGGAATGAACTAGTAGATGGCCTGTCTGACTGTCTGTCTGTCTCTCCCTCCCTCTTTCCCGGCCTCTCCCCCTCCCTCCCTCTTCCTCTCCTCTCTCTCCCTCAAATACATAAAATTAAATTGTGTGAGAATTTACAATTTATCTAATCTGTCAGATTCTCTATCTTACCCCACTGAAGTATACAGCTACTATGTACTCACATCTGATATGGTTCTTGGAGCCCAGACACACTCTAATTATAAGGCAACTTACAATTTTCTTGGAAAAAAAGAACAACTCAGTGCACACGAAAACATCAAACAGGAAAGCAGTGAGATTGGTTGCAGGTGTACATGTTCAGGAATGAAAGGGCATACAAAATTCAAACAAAAGAAAGACCCAAATGAAAACTTTTAGAACTAATGATGCTTGCTACAAAAATCATAAAAACCAAATGGCTTAAGCGGCAGATCAGCATCATGTGTTTGGCTATAATAGAGTGAAAAGTAACACAAGAAAATTATGCTGAAAAAAAATATAAAACTTTGGATGGTCTGACATGCCAGGTAAAGACAAGAATCACTGATAGATCCAAACATATAAGCAGAGTGGGGATTACACAGAAAGCAGTGTTTTAGGGAAAGTAATCTGAAAGTAGAGTTCAAAAACATCTAAGGGACAAGAACATAGACGGAAAGACCAAACAAGGCTTCCACAGCATCCATGCAAGAGACTAAAAAGGCAACATCTTCATCAGTAGAAAGTAACTTTAGAAAGTTGCTGATGTGAGGGAAAAAAATGTCAGAAAAGGAAAGGACGGAACACAGTGTATGAGATATGGGCGACACTTGGCTTAGAGGGGTGCAGAAAGCTCTGGGATTACTCATTATTTTAAGGCTTCCACATGAGTGTCGGGCCAAAGTCAACAAACTATCTGGCCACTTAGCACAATGACTAACACAGCAGCAGCAGCAGCTCAGTAAATGCAGGTGGGATGCTAGATAGGGGGAGATGGAGCAACTCTGACAGCAGAAAAAACAAAAGCAATTCATGCAGATCTCTTCCTCTAAAATCTTCAGTACCCAGCACCCTCCACCACAAAGGAAATGCACCCCAGGCACATTCTCCTTTGACTTTAAACCCATGCCAAAGCGCAGGGTTTCCATGTTCTTTCTGTCCACTAAAAATCCTCCGTGGACACCAAATCCAAGTTTTCACTGAACATTTCCAAAGTGAATTCTCAGGATTTATTCCCAATCTGGTCTTGGTCTCTCTGTCTCTCTCTCTCTCTCTCTCCCCTCTCTCTCTTTCCCTATTTTCAAGCTCACTTTCATCCATGTTCCCCTAAACTTGACATTGTAAAGGTATTTAAAGCAATTTCCTCTCCACTCATGACCCATGCACCTAATCACTGAGTTCAAATGATGATGCCTTTTCAACAACTCTAGGCCTCAGAACTTCTGCACATCTCCAGCGTTCTACTTCAGCACCTTTCCTGAACCAAATACCTTTTTTGGGACACAATCATCCATTCTATTTGCTAGGCAGTGCTATCTCTGTCTTGCACATATTTATAGCCACAGCATATGTCAACTGATTAATGATATGTGGGCCATTCCTCCTAACAATCAGCAGAAAAGGAATGCTCTTACTCCCCACAACTGCACTTGTTAAAGGTCTGTATTACTTCTCACATAGTCCAGCACTAGGTGGAGAATGTGACTTTAGTCCCAATTGCAACCCCTTCATGCAACAACATACCTCCTCAATAGAACTCTTTACAATGTAGAGCTGATCTTCTCCCTTATTTATTTGAAATTCATCCATGACAAAGTTAGGTCTCTTTCATCTCAACTTGGCCTATTCCTCCAACTCTAACTCATGTCCCAACTAACAACCAAGCATGCCCAGAAAACCAGTATCTACTTCTAGTGCCTGCATGAGGAATGTTTGGCCTCAACAGCACTCATCACTATGCTCAGTGTCTCTCTCCTAAAACACATTCTCCCAACTTCTCCATAGCAAGCTTTCTCTTCCTTAAAACTTCAGCTACCTACACACTGCTCTTTATTTTAAAAAATATATATTTATTCATTTCTTTCTAAGATTTATCTTATTTTACATGAAAGAGTTACAGAGAGAGAGATGGATAGACAGAGAGAGACAGAGAAAGAAGGAGAAAGAAATCTTCCATCAGATGGGTCACTCCCCAGATGGTCACAATGGCCAGTGCTGGACAGATCCAGGCTGGGATCCAAGAGCTTCTTCTTAGTCTTCCATGTGGATGAAGGAACCCAAGGAGTTGAGTCATCCTATGCTGCTTCCCAGGCCACACACAGGGAGCTGGATCCAAAGCGGAGCAGCCAGGACTTGAACCAGTACTCATAAGGATGCCAGTGCCACAGGATGAGTAGCCAGCTATACCTCTTCACAATCCAATTCTTTACTTTGTAAATTGTTCCTTCAACCTACTCATTATTACAATGCCAAAGGAAACATATAGCTGTTTTTGTGCTTTGAAAAAACACTTCCAGATGTATTCTATGTATCTATTTGTTTTCATTCCCACTTCAAATACTCAAGTATTTGGAAGGAATAAAATTTCTTTCTTCCTTGCTTTCTTTATTTTTCTTTCTTTCCTTCCTTCCTTCATCTCCTCCTCCTCTTCCTCCTTCTCCTTCCTTCCTTCTCTTTTCCTTCTCCTCCTCCTCCATTTTTTGGTCATTTATCACACAGCTTGCCTCAGGCTCTTAAAAAGTGCTAGTTCAATGGGTAAATGAAAGACTATGGAGTTAGCATCGTGGAGCAGCAGATTAAACCCTGACTTTCAATATCAACATCTCAAGTTGAAGTACTGATTCAAGTCCCAGCTATTCTGCTTCCAATCCAGTTCCCTGCTAATGCCCCTGGAAGCATCAGAAGATGCTCAAGGGCTCCGGCACCTACCAACCACATTAGAAATTTAGATGAAATTTCAGACTCCTGGAAATTACCAAGCCCTGGTAATTGCAGCCATCTGAGGAGTGAATTAGCAGATGGAAGAACTCTGTCTATCCCCATTCCCCACAGTACAAGTTTTGTATGTGTATGCATGTTTGTGCATGTGTGTATGCCACTCTACCTTTTAAATAAATAAATCTTTAAAAAAGAAAGCATGATGATCAAGGGACAGGTGACTTAGTTTGAACATAGTTACACAGACTTACTCTGAATTAGTGTTATGCATAAAGCCATGACCCCCTTGGACGTGACTGCTGGTGACCTTGCTTTACTCACATGCAGCTAGCACTAAATTCTAAGCCACATGCACAGAGACACCATTCTTGGGTCTGCGGCTGGGGAGACACTTACACGACACTCCTGCTGTTCTGCTCCTTGCTTTTCACCATCTGAGCTAAGCTTTTAAAGAAATAAAATATCCATGTGAAATTTAAATAGAAGAATAGATTACTATGACCAACAAATGAATGTTAATTCTACTTCATGCATACTTATTACTATAATTTCATTTAAAAATTCAAATTCCCTTACATTTTCACCCTATTGCTATTTCATCTCAAGACGCCAATGCATACAAAAACATCCTGCCAAATTTCTAAAATGCTAATATGTATAATACCATATATATGGTATATATTAACGTATATATATGCTAATAGGGTTTCAACCCTAAAGAAGATAACAGCACAAAGTGGAAAACAAAGAAAAAAACAGGAAAAAAAAATCCTCCTTCTCTCATTTCTGTGGCATTTTAAGTAAACTCACAAAGAAAATGATGTCAGGAAAATAGTTCCTTACCGATGGGCCTTCTCCAATGTGCGTGTGTGTTTTCTGCTTGGCTTCACACAGCTGCCTCAAGTGTAAAATCACAAGTTCATTTTCTTCTTGGTCACTGACCGGCTTCATTTTCTGTTGAGTAGACAAACCGAGAGCACAGTTTGGCAACACGACCCGCGTTCTCCTCCTTTATTTCCTTGGTTTGATGGGGCAGACAAACAACTACAGCTGAGAGTTCTCACTGTGCTCAGACACAAAAGTGGCAAGAGTGCTCTAGTTCTGCCACACAGGACTAGAGGACATTTAAGGTCACTTCAGAGACAGGAATGATGTGTCTTCTCTGTCACTTCAGAGACAGAGAAGGAAATCACAAAACTGAATCCCATCCTCACTCCTTTTTACTTCTGAGAAAACCAAAGGACCCTACCTGAACTCGTTCAAAGATGTCAGCTTGCTCATTGTCCAACAGCGATGACAGGTGCCTCTGGATCACCAGCTTGGCTCTTGGAGGATACAGACCTAAGCGAAATGAAGAGGGACAGCATGGAATAGGGGTGAGCAGCAGAGATCTAAATGTATATAAGATACCATACTTCACCTCTTTCCCAAAGGTTCCCAACTTAGATCTTCTCAGAGACAGTGATAGAAAGTCAATGAAAAACCTCTCTATAGCCCCTACAGATGATCCTGGAGTTAGAATTACTAACAAAACCATATCCAAGTGATTCCAACCACAACCAGGTACTGCTTAACATATTCATACTAACAAGTTCAGCCCCTAAAGAGACTCACAGGTGAATTAGCATGGCACTAAGATTTGGCATAAATGAGTTTACAACCTGACAATAATAATAAATGAGATTTGGGGTGGGGTTGGCCTAGCACTTAAGAAATGAATTCCACATAGGAATGCCTGGATCTATGTCCCAGGTCCAGTTCCCACACTGGCTTCCCACACATGCGGCAAAGCAGTAGGGGCTGACTCCAGTACTTGGGTCCCAGGCGCCTCCATGGGGGAGTCAGAGGTTCTGCGCTCTTGGCTTAAATCCTGTGCAGAAAGCCTGAACCAGTCCTAGCGAAGCAGAAAATGGAGAATGCACTTGCGTCAGTGTCTGTCATAATCCATCTTTATTACTGCAATCTACACTAAATTCTGTGAGTCTGTGATCACACATCAAAACTCATTTTAATGGCATGATACTGTTCAAGATTAAAAGCCATTTTAGAAAATGCTCCATAGACAATATGGAAACTTAATGGAAATATATACATTATGAAAAAAACTATGTGTTGGTTTCAAAATTTTGTCCACAAAATAAGCATCAATTAATTCTATTTACTCCTTGAAGTATCCTCATACTATGACTTTTTTTTTGGGGGGGGGGGTGAATTACAGAGATTGGCTTTTTTCACTTAAGCCATAAATTCATACAGAATGGGTTCCAGCAGCCCAAGCCACTTTTCCATGGGTTCTCACAAAGTGGGCTGCTGCAAGTGGGGCAGACTGACCCTTCGACTGAACCTGTGTACCCTTCTCTATGGCTTCCTTCTTTTCCTGATCATTTTCCATCACATATTCCAGAAAGCCATCTTGGCTCTTACAGTACTTAATATGCCTAATGCCCGCATTTACCACACAGTCAACAGTATAATGGGTAACACTGTGGACTCTTCCAGTTCTGCCATGGGAACATTTATGGAGTTCTTACAAGGACCCATGCCCTTGACGTCTACAATGTCATTTTCTTTTAAATAAGCATGTATGTGAACAAAACAACAGCTCCGTATATATCAGTTTCTCTCCTCTTTCCCTTTATGTTCATCATCTTGGTGAATTACTGGGGAGAGACTGAAGTGCCCACATAGAATAATTTCAATATGAATAACTTTATTTTGTTTTCTAATGCCACTGTTTATTTTATTCTGATGCTAATCCTCAAAAGAGGAAAAGAAAAAGAGGGCTATGTCACCAAATCTGCATTAAGATTTTTTTAGATTTCTGGCATAAACAAAGAAATTAACTAGAAACAGTTGTAATTTACTTCTTTCAAAATATAGGGCTCCCTTCACTAGAAATCGGATCTGACTTCCTTCTTTCCTCCAGTTTGCAGTCGCTGTCTAGTGAATTGCTGGCACTGAAAAGCATGTACATGAACATGATTCAGCATACATGTTAGTGCTGGGAAACCAAAAGGGGCTAATCGCTCCAGCTCCATGCTAGGCAGCACCAGTTAGTTTCATACTCCAAGGTTTCATCCTTACAAGATGAAGTTCCTCTTAGGCACCTTTCCTTAATTTACTTCCAGCTACATGGATAGACTTAGTCTAGAAGTTAAGACCCAGCCAGGGCAGAGACGATTAGGGCTTATCTCTTCTCCTTGGTTTTGAATTTTTTTGTTTGTTTGTTTTTGGCATTAGAAACAGAACTCAGGGGAAAACATGTGGCAAAATGGTTGGGTCACAACATCCCATTTGGAGTGACTGGTCCAAATCAAAAACAAAACGAAAAACAGAAAGAACTCAGTGCAACCAAACATACTGATGATAGTAATCCTATGAGTCTGAATGAGGTATTAGAGTAGTTTTTTAAAGTTGGTTTTACTTGAAAGGGAGGGGGGATGGAGAGAGAGAGGTCTTGCATTTACTGATTCATGCTCTAAATGCTCACAATGCCCAGAGTTGGGCAAATCCAAAGCTTGGAACCAGGAGCTTCCTCCAGGTCTCCCAAATAGGTGCAGGAGCCCAAGGCCTTGGACCACTCTCCTCTGTTCTCCCATCTAAGGGAAGGTATCTGGATCAGAAGTGGAACAGCCGAACCTTAAACTGGTTCCCATATGGCATACCAGTGCCACAGGTAAAGGATTAGCCTGCCTGTTGGCCCCTAAATACGTTTAAATCTTTAACTTTTCCAAAGATGATTCTTCTTATTACTTTAGACCTTATGCCTAAGCACAGAATTCACACTGCTACCTCCACACTGCAAGAAACAGATGGCAAGAGGCTTCAAGACAGCTTGGCCCCAAGAGTCTTTATTTTCTTAGAGATAAGTTATTTGTTGCTTTGGAAACAGATTGTGTGTGTGTGTGTGTGTGTGTGTGTGTGTGTGTGTGTGTGTGTGTGTAAGGTATATATATGTTTATAGATAGATAGATATAGAGATAGATAGATACCAAATAGTTACCAGAAAATTCATCTATGCATGGATTGCACAAAGTAAATTTATGTTTTAATTCTGCTTTTCCAAAAACTTCAAGTACTCTTGTATATGATATCACTCTATTTATCCAAGTACAGCATATGTTATTTATGTTATTCAAAAAATCATCTTGCATTAACAATTTTAAGATCCATTCACAATGACATAGTCTTCCAATGCGCTCCCATTAATCATTGCATTATATGAACATAATTCAATTATGAACATTTGTACTGTTTCCAATTTTTCATTGCTCACAAATGATATGGCATTGACAATATCACCTCTCTTGCCTAATAAGAATTTTTTTTACCAAGATAGTACTTCTGGTTAACAGGATTCAAGTCACAAAATGACTATACCAATTTCTACTTTCATCAGTACTATATAGACATATTATTACACCTACAATTTCCAATTTCTCCAGCAGTTAATCAGATGGAGATCTGATTGCTTTCATTTTTATTTCCAGTGAAGTTCATTATCATCTCATTGTTAATACAGGCCTTTTAATTTTCTCTTCTGATAAGTCTGTGGATTTTTTTAAATGGTTTGTACAATTTCCTACTGGGTTGTTTTATCTATTCCTTAGAAACTTCTTACATACTAAGCATTCACAAAACGCTTCTGATGTATAAAAATGTGTTGTGCAAATGCTAAACATTAAAAATGACTATGACATCAAAATGGCCTTTGACAACAGGTTGTGTGGCTATTCAGTACATACACCTGTCAGCCCTAAATCATTCTCTTATTTTCTTCTAGAGTGTATATTCCTCTCTGCTATCTGACTGAACTGGATTTACTTCCTCACTAGTCTGTCTCCCACTCCAGGCAGTGACCTTTCTAGAAGCATAGCCCATGTCTCGATCATCTGTGCATCCACAGTTGTTAGCCTATTTCCTAGTCCATGGCAGACATTAAACAGTGTTTAATTAATTCTCTTTCTTCATTTATGCAGTATTTTGCAACTTGATCTTTGGTTAAAAAAAAAAAAAGACAATGAGAACGAAGGAAAAGTAAGTTGGCTCCCTCCCTCTCCCCCTCTCCATTCTCCATTTCAGAGTGCAAATCCATTTTAAAGATGTCATTTTTATCATCTCTATCATTCACCAATGACCCTCACAAGCCAGGAGAGTTTCATTACAATTCTAAACTTTCACAGAAAACAGGATATGGTCAAGAGGGAGAGAGGAAAAGAATGAAAAAAAGTGGACAACATTCTGTGATGGCTTTGCTTTTCATTCATTCACTAAATATTTGGTCAGTTCCCATTGAATAGAGAGCAGTCTTAGGAAGTGTGGGAAACACAAATCTTTTCCTTGAGTTTGCTGTCAGAAGGAAAACAACAGAGAGAGAGAACAAGCAGAAAAAGAAAAAAAGAGAGAAAGAAAGTCAAGCACCTAGCTGAGACTGACAGCACACTCAAATTTGACTGGCCATGAGAAATGACTCTGAGTTCTTGCTTCACACAGACACAAAGACCTATTCAGGGAGAGGAGGGACTTTCTCATTTCCCCAGTGCCAAAGCAAACTCCTCTCCTGCCAAGGCCACATTGTACTGTACCTTCGATCCTCTCACAGAGCTTGTGCAGAGAGTGCATTGGACAGGCCTCACACAGTTTAATCTGAGTCTTGGCGCTCTGCAGGGCAGCAGCAGTACTGAAAGCCTGTTTCAGAGTCAGCATGACCTCATCGACCTACAAGAAGGAACAAGACTCAGGTCTACAAAAGTGTGCTTTCATGGTAGCATGAAAAACCTGACAGCAATGGGAGCCATTGTCCATACTAAGTCAAAATTAATAGGGTTGTGATGATACAGTGCTGGCAGACAGAATATGAAGTATTGAAGTTATACACACATAATTGAGAGCTAGGTGAAATAAGACCGTTTCAATGTATGTAATATGGTGCTGATTATTTACTAGACTGTAATATCCAATTGCACTAAAGGTTATGGTATCATAAAACATTAGCAAATCAGGTCTTTGTTTAATTAAATGTTTGGCTTATCAGATAGAGACCCCTTCAGAAGTTGTGTCTGTCACACACATGGGGCAAGAAAATAGGTTCAACATTCACTTGTGCTAACAGGTGTCTATTTACTTTATCCTGCTAGATCACTATCATTATAAAAATAAAACACTGCTTAAGTCAATTTCTGAGCAGAATATCAGCTTAATCTAAAAAGGAGGGGGAAAGCCTAGCAGTGTTGTTGATCTTAGCTCTACAGCTTCTGGCTTATCATTCCATTTATAATTGTGACACAATGACCTCCACCAACTGTGGAGATAACCACTAAGACTCAGGATTCAGTCAGCAGCTTGCAAACTGCCAGCTCGCTTCTTCCCTGCTCTCCCACGCATCAGATCAAGGCACCTGAACTCAGCTTTCTATTTAAAAGCAACAAACAGTGCTTACATACACACTGTTAAAGCAATCTTCTAATTTCTGTTTTAGAACATCGATGCCAGGTGTCATTTTCACAGACATTGTAGAACTTAGATCCGATTTCAGAGGCTGCCCTGGAGAGCTGCTGGGTACTCAGGATTTCATGTGAACTAGCTTTGATTTTCAAATCCATTTACTATGCTTGGGATGCCTTTTTTTTTTTTAACTTTCTATCTTCTTTTCCACTGTGGTCTGATTTTAAAGTACATTTTTATTTAAAAGAGTTAATCTACTTCTGTTTTGTCAGTTTATGAGGAACCTAGAATAAACAGAAACCTAGCTCTTCTAACGCAACTAAAAGATCATACTCTAAACAGACAGCTATTATCATTTTATCTTATGATATTATCAGCCTGAAAAAGACATGAATAATTTTACATTGTCTTATAAAAAGAGATAAATCATTCATAAAATACATTATTTTAAACTGTAATTAAAGAATATAGATTTGTAATACTTGGAAACATAAGTATTAGACATTTAATGTTGTTGCAATTTTATTTCTTTTGTCTTGTTATATATTCAAAATGATTTAAGAGATGCTCATTTATTTCTATTTTATTTTTCATTTATTTCAGACATGGAAAATGTTACTAAAATGATTAGTAACTAAAATAGTTTTCTTACATATTATTGCTGAGTAATAATACTGCCTATAAAAAGGTGTCCAGTGGGAATATTTTGAGTGTCTTTTTCTCTATTTCCAGAGTGAAACAGGAGGTTATTCTTGAAAAATGGGTACCAGCTTCTTCCTGCCACAAATATTAATAAAACATTTTTTGGCTTCTAAATTAAAATTTTTTTTTTAATCTACCACTCTTTTTCTGAACAGGCTATAAATTCTAAATTGGAATCAGCATAACAAAAAGTTTAAATTAGCACACTGTGAGTCGTCTAAATATTTCAGTCTAGATACAATATCCAAAAAATCACAGGTCACATCAAAAGCAAAGAAATGTGCAAATAAAACTCACTCATATGCAAACAAAAAAAGTTAATGTTCTTGGCATTGCCTCACAGAACATTAAACTCCCAATAAGAATCATGAAATGGAACAAAGCTTAAGTTACTACAGTAGGGGACAGTTCATACTTAAGTTAATAACCAAAAGCACTTATATGCTAAACTTAAGATTTCATATTTAAAATAAGGCTAATAATTACAAAATGTGTAAGGATACCAAAAAGTAGTACAGACTGAGTAATTTAAATTCTCAAACTCTCCAATGAAAAATATTAATCTGATGTAAACAAGTCAATGGTCTCCTTTGTGGCCAATCTCTTATCAATATCTTAAAACTTCCAATGAACTCCATGCTTATTTCTTTCTTAACTCGATGCAAATTCTTAATTTTCAGTAGCCTTTTGGTTATACTTCCCTTTTGTGGAAATTACTTGGTGTATAAGTAGCAAAAAGTTGAGTACCTTGTTTCAAATTACTCAAACCAATTTTAAAGAAAGCACATTGTTAAAGAAATGATATTTCCTAAAAATCTCAGAGTGGACATTTGAAACAGTGTTTAAGATGCCACTTGGGATGTCCCATCCGAGTGCTGGCTCATGCCCCAGCCCCTCTGCTTCTAACCCAGCTTCCTGTTGATGCGCACCCGGGGAGGCAGCAGCTGAGGGCTAAACCTCTTGGGTTCTTGTCACCCACATGGGAACTTGGACTGAGTCCTTGGCTCCTGGCTTCAATCCATTGTAGCCTTAGCAGCTGAGGCCATTTGGAGAGTCAATCAGCAGATAGAAGATCTCTGTCAGTCTATCTGCCTTTCATATAAAGTGAAAATAAACAAATTTTAAGTTTCAATTATTGATTGAACAAGACTAAACTATCTTGCTACAATTATTTCAAGAAAAACCAAAAGAAAAATAATCAGTTACAGTTTCACTGCAACTCCCAGCGTAACCATAAGAATACTACATTGTTTAGAAATTGCTAGCAATTCTTACAGAGTAGCAAAAGAAAATGCTATCACATGTCTTTGATGCTCAGAGAAGATAAGTGGGTATGCAGAGTTTTGTAATACTTCCCTAAGTGCCAAGCCACACGGACTGTAACAGCACTTGCACTGATAATATGTGACTATTTTCTTTTGTTCAATGTATCAGCTGCTTGAGCCATCTTCTATTAGGCAGGAAATTTACATTTAATCTTCCTTCCAACAAGCAGTTCTGATGCCTCAAGATTCAGTTCAGATAAAACCAGAGTAAACAGGATTTGAAAGATCCTAGCATGGGCCTGTTCTTAAAGACAATGCTGCCAAAACTCAAATCCAATACAGCTTCAAGGAACAGGCAGGCATTCACAGCCAGCCCAGTCTGTTGCCTTAGTCACACAGCCTGTTGGGGGAAAATGCATTATGCCCCCAGATCTTCTGCTGTCACCGCCAGTTCTACAAAATCCGTTTTACATGCATACAGGCAAAAAAAAAAAAACAAAAAAAAACTAAGAACACAAACCAAACTCTGTAACAAGAGATTGGAAATTAGTTTTTGCATAGCTTCTGTTTCAGTCCAAGTTATCCAGTGATTAGAAGTTGATCAGGACTTAGAAAATGAGAGCCTACAACAGAGACTAACAAAATCTTTCAGTCATTCACAAGACAAAGTTCTCAAGCATGTACTAAATTCAAGACATTCTTACTAAGCAGACACATGCTGGTGTGTCATGTTGGTCTGCAGGAGCAATTAGGGATCTGGGAACTAGGGCTCAGCTGCTGAAAGCCAGTAACCAGATTGTCTTCGGAAGGATGAGACAAGGAAGCTGGGGCCCATCAAACCCACAGTTGGAAGGAAAGGGAGCAGCAATCACAGGAGGTAGAGGCCAGTCTGGCTTTACTGCCAATGAAGCATTAAGAAGGGGAACATGAGAACAAACCACTACAGTAATACCAGAAACCCAAATGGATGAACAGCGTGAACCCCAGAGGCCTGACAGCATACAAGACACAAACCTGATTCCGGCCTCCTCTGACATGCCACTCTCCACTCAAGTGCCACTTCTGAGACACCAAGGGCCTTCAGAGAGCTTCAACCACTCCCTTAAATCCTGGATTCCCATGCCTGTCCCACGCCTGCATCAGCCACAGTGAGGAGCAGCAAATCACAGCAAGAGCATTACTATACCAACCACCCATCATACTTGTGGTTTAGCACAGAGAGCAACTCATGAGCTGCCACAGCACTTGTGAGGACACTGTCACAAAATAAAAGGCATGGATGGCATCACCTTCTAGAAGAGGGTTCATACCATACAAGAGGAATGAAGCAGCTCAAACTCCTTGGTAAACCATTTAGACTGTCTGTTAAGCATGAGCCATTAGCTGGGTGCTGATAAGGAAATGCAGTGAGAAATCAAACCTAACATCAAGAAGAAAATGCACAGACCATCATAGACAAGGGCAACAGTGGGGAGAGAAGTTAGGCCAATAATACGAGAAGCCAAATAAAGAAAAGTAATGTTAATATTCAGCCAGCAAAAAGAAAAGAGGGGAGATGGATAAGCAAAACAGTTCCTCTGGGAGTCAATAGGATTTGGTGAACAAGATATAGAAGGTGAAAGAAAAAGCATTGGGCTTTCTAAACTGGAGAGTTGAGTAAATGGTAAGAAATTTAAAATCTGTATATATATACAAAGAGAGAGAGAGAGATGATTGGTTTGAAGAAGGCAGGATATGGAATACGGTAGAAAGTTCAGTCTTAGCAGGAGGGGTAAGGGAGGGGAAAATGAAGGTGTTAGTAGCAGAGACTTCAGAGGAGTAGGCCCTAAGTGCAGAGAATGCCACACAATCCTACCAAACTCAGTAGGGCCAGCACATTCCAGGGTTGTATCATTGGCTCTCCTCGGCTCTCATTCTCTTTCTTTCCTTGGGTGTTCCTCCAATCCCTGCCTTCCACTATCGTTTACTTAATCAAAACCCTCAAACGTTGACCTCAAGTCCTAACCTGAGTTTATTGAACAGCGGTCAACTCAATATAACACGTGCATGTTTCACAGGTCTGCTTAATAATCTAGGAGAACAGCACTCACCAGACCGAAGTCACTGGCCACACTGGAAGTGTGGAAAGCAAGAATGAGGCAAGATGACCATAACACACAGAAAGAAACCACAGCAGTGCTGCCTGGCTTATTTGCCTCTGTGTAAATTGCATGTGTTTTCCTGGGAGAAATGTTACAGCAAGGATTACACGCAAGTCCTTCAAAGAATGGGAATGGGATTTCTGAAGATGATGGTACACTGGTTTAAAAGGGAAACAGCACAAGTGGGATAGAAAGCAACACTTGGATAGGAAACAAAAAAATCAATATTTTTTAGTCATCTAAGTATAGTTCCAAGCCTGCCTTGTGTATGTTCTTTCAAACTCCAGTGTTCCCATAATGCAAAGGAGAATAACTATACTATTAAGTCCCAAGGAAATAAAATGAAATAAGACCACAAAGAACAAAGCCGTTAAAAACTGAGGATAAGGCCAACAAAGCAAGAGTGGCTCTCCACTCAGTTGCTGTAAGCACTCTTGACTGGGTGGGAGATGTTACAGTGACTAAGAAAATAGGAAGTCAACAGTCTGCCTTCTCGCCTTCCTTGAGCAGCGGGAAAAGTAACAGCTCTTCTTTTCTTAGTCTTTTCCTCCCTTCTAAAAGTAGTCATGGTAATATGACTGGGTTTGTTAAACATAAGAAAGCCTCTAGCACTCAACATGGCCATGAAAATTAGAGTATCTACTGCTTATGTTGCTTTGAAATGGAAAAATGACATTTCTAGGAGACTCACTTCTGAAGCTTCATCTAGACGATGTAGGCAACAATGCATCAACAATACATTTGTTCACTTACCAGAGATTCACTGGCACACTGGAACACATAGCAGATATACTGGCTCAGCCCCGGTTCCACAGACTCCCGACAGATAAAGCCAAAGTGATCAACGTGCTTTATACCCTAGATGGGAGGAAAAACACGATTTGGGGCTTAGGGCAATCTGCTCTTTTTTAAAAAAAGATTTATTTTTATTGCAGAGTCAGATGTGTGCATATATATATATGTATATATATGTGTATACACACACACACACACACACACACACAGAGGAGGAGAGACAGAAAGAAATATCTTCCATCCCAAGTGTGGTCACTTCCCAAGTGACCACAACTGTCAGTGCTGTATCAATCCGAAGCCGGGAGCCACGAACCTCTTCCGCGTCTGCCACACAAGTGCAGGGTCCCATGGCTTTGGGCTGCCCTCAACTGCTTTTCCAGGGCACAAGCAGGGAGCTGGATGGGAAGCAGGGCTGCCAGGATTAGAACCAATGCCCATGTGGGATCCCAGTGTGTTCAAGGTGAGGACTTTAGCCGCTAGGCCACAGTGCTGGGCCTGAGTCTGTCCTTTTAATAACAGTATTGGAACCATCAGTTCTACACTCTGTCAGTTTCATGAATCTGTCCTTCACACTGACAGGCAACTTGACATCACAGCAAACCCACATGATGGCCTGATGATACACAAATGAAGGGTGAGAACAGCTAAGATTGTTTTGTTTCTGAGGAACACTCTGTGACTCAGGGCCACAGGAGGAAAAACAGGTATGGCAAGAGCCATGGCATCGTAAAATAAAACCGCAACTCTATGCTAACAAGGAATGCAGTTTTGAAGTTACTGACTTCTTGGTCAAATGATTAACCATAAACCCTATTCTTTTCTATGAGGGAGCTAAGAATCTAAGAAGTACACCTGACAATACTAGAATTAAATGGCATGCAATCACCTAAAGTATGCTTGAAAATACCAGCATATTTATCTACTTCTAAATAGCCAAGGAGCCATACTGTTCAAAACTGATAGATGTTGAAATGATTTCAAGTGTTGGTCCACATTCATGCATCAGTGTGCTTTCCAGGCAAGATAAACTCAGTAATATTTATTAGAAACATAAGTCTCATCAGTTTGAATACACATGCATCAATAAGTAGAGAATACATTACTATTTTAATAGGACATATTTTATTTGAAAAGCCAGGTAGCTAAGAATTTCACAGCTGTCCCTGAAATCCCCTCAATGTAAGTGAAAAGGAAAAACAGTCCTTAGAGTCACATGGATATGTGCTTAAGTCTTGGTTCAACTGATTTACTAAGTATGAGATATTTTGCTGGGATTATTCTAGAGTTATCTCTGAGGCTCCATTTCTCATAATAAAAAGTAGTGATGGGCTCGGCGCAGTGGCACAAGTGGTTAAGGTCCTCGCCTTGCATGCCCGGGATCCCATATGGGCGCCAGTTCTATCCCGGCGGCCCCCGCTTCCCTTCCAGCTCCCTGCCTGTGGCCTGGGAAAGCAGTAGAGGACAGCCCAAAGCTTTGGGACCCTGCACCCGCGTGGGAGACCCAGTTATTTTACAAAGATTTAAATATATATAGATAGATTATACATTAAAACATCAAAATGTGCTTCAAATTTTCCATTAATTTTAGTTGAAAGCACTAGCCCCCCTTTCATTCCCACTAAGAGCAAGCATGGCTCAGTAACACTCCCCCATTCCAGTGTACAATGTTCTGAGAACATCAACTGTGAAGGTATTTTCAACAGAACCCCACACACAAAATTCCCACCAATGGAGGGATCTGATGAAGTGATGTTGCACGGACGAAGCTGATTAATGTTGCTACTGGTACAAACACATAGGCACCTGGATAAAAACTACTTACCTTAAAAAAGAAAAAATTAATAAGGTGAACATGTTAGTGGCTTGAGCCTAGTCATTTCATGGTTAGTCATGAAACACAATTGAACTGATTTCTCCAAATAGCATGTTTGCTACATACCTGAGAACAAGAAGAGATGTCTTTAAAATTCTTTTCTAGAACAACTGATTTAGTGTCTGGACTGATAAGGTTAATCTCAAATCGTCCAACCTTAAAGATAAAAGCAATGAAATTAGTTCCAATTCACAAAACCCAATATGTGCTCTACACTTAAATATTTTAATGACTAAGAAATATTCAAATACAGTATACCAAACACACCCATTTCATACTCACCAACATCCAAACAATCAATGTTTTAACCCCAACCTTAACTTGCCGCAAAACATTTTTTCCCCTTATCAAAAAATAATGGGAATTAAATTGGCCTTAAATGGTAAGCTATAAAAAAAACCTTTTCACATTAGAAATAATTGTCTTTCCAAAAACTAGGCAAACTTGCATTACTCCTTAATGTCTGAAAGTATCAATTATTTCTATCTATACTTGCTTCCAAATGATCTACAAGATGACATGTTCAATTGGGCTAATCAGTGGGATTTAAAAAAAAAGACATTCAGAAATATTACTAGCAAGAACTGAGAACTGTTAAGAAAAAGAAGAAAATTGATGGCCTTAGGGGAAAATTTTAGTTAACATATTAAGGAAAAGACTACAGATGCTTTTATTACATTACTAAAGCTAAAAATATATATATAAACTTCTTAAAAAAAAAAAACCACTATACACTGGGATTGTCTGTCAAGGTATGTTTCGAAATTTCCTTAGCAGATCTTCTTCAAAATAGCACCTTTTTTTTCCCAAGAAAAACATCAGGTCAAAGCTGTGTCTTCAAGCTTCTCTGCTATGTGTAAACTGGTGTGTTCTATTCTGAAAATACATCTGTGAGTCTCTAGACTTTTTGATTCCTCTCTAGAAAAAAAAAAATCTTCTCTTTTCCCTATGCCAAACCACATCTATAAGATGCACATCTACCCGTCTGCACAAATTTGGTCCTCTATGATTCTGTTTAAAGTCTTTATCGGAGGTAATCAAGCAGAAGGGAAAGGTGGCCACAGGGATCAAGCAGAATGCCTTCATCATGGGGTTTTGTGTCTTTCCAACTTCCTCTTTCTCCTCTCCTGTCCTGCTGTGTTTGCCCCCTTGTCCCTTCTCTACTTGATGTGCGCTGCCGCCATGCCTTTTGTTTTGTTTTTCAGAGGGTGGACCACAGCAAAGTGAGACAATGAACTCTGCTCGTCCTGAACCCTGTGGACACATCAAATGAAGCAGCAGTAAGAGGAGCTGGACACCCAGTTGCTGTCTGGCCCCTTCTTACACAGTCTCCACTGGCACTGTCAGCCCTACCTGGAACAGCATCGTTCTGTTTTTCTGGGAATCCGAGGGCTGCACATGGCTGGGCGCACTTGCATGCCTCCTGCGCGGCTGTGCTATTTGGCTGCTCTCATGAACTTTCTTTTGCAGGACTCCGGTAACACTACTGCATCGAGACCGAAACTCCTGCTGTTCGTCGAAGCCAGAATCTTCCAAAATCCGCTCAGGGAAGCAAAGCCGAGAGCTGGGCTGTGTAGGCTGACTGGGTGCAGCGGGCAGTCCAGGGTGGGTGTCCATGTCATCTTCAGCTTCCTCTTGCAGGGTGTCTCTGGGGACCCGGGGCACTTCGGCCTCTGGAGCTACCAGGTCCTGGCTGGGGTCAGCCTGTAGCCTCAGGCGCTGCTGCTCATGCAGGCTGAACTTTTCGATGCAGTCATCAATGAGACTGGATGGTGCCTTCTTGTGGGTCACAATCACCTTCCCACAGTACAGGACCTCAAACTTCTGAGAGTTGTAAAAGGCATCTTCATTGTCCTTGCTGGGTTTGGCATCCTCCTTCATGGCGGCTTTGGATAATTGCCTTATACTGCTGATAACATCAGGGACCTGGGGAAAAGGTGAGAACCCTCATTTTAGCTGGACTGTTTAGAGATCATTTAAGCTTACCTAGACCTATTATCATCACAGGAATGAATTTTCATTCTACATGACAGAATAGAGAAGAAACAGACCCCACACAATGTAGATCACTGATTGATACTAACAAAACATCAAGGTCAAATTTTAAAAATCAATGAAAATTAACAGTAATATGTTTGTCCATTTTAAATAAATGTATCTCTGCAAAACTGTGAGAGTCAACAAGCCACTGCCTGTTTTAATAAGCTATCATGTAATTTTGATTGCTTTTAAGAGTGTTAACAGCGGCCAAAGCCACTACCTGAGATGGCAACAACCCATAGTATATTGCAGCTGCTCTACTTCTCATTTAACTCTCAATTAATGGCCTGGGAAAAGCCAGAGATGATGGCCTAAGTGTGTGGGCCCCTGCCACCCACATGGGGGACCTAGATGAAGCTCTGGCTTCTGATTTTAGCCTGGCCCAGTGTTGGCAATTGGGCCATATGGGGATTGAAACAGTAGATGGAACATCTCAGTCTCTCCCATTTCCCTCTGTAACTTGCCTTTCAATCTTTAGAACACTAACTAAATCTCAGCTGAAAGAAACCAAAGTTCCAATAATGGGAATAGTATCAATTTTCTGGTGAGGCAATGAAAACTCAGACACCCCTCATCAGCCTTAGCCCTCAGGGACAATGCAAACTGGAATCGCCATAAGCTCACATCCATGATGGCCAGCAACAAGACCGAGGGCAGCAAAGTAATGGTACGGGGACTCTCAGGCACCACACACAACACCTTCAGAAATCCGGCCATTGCTCAGAACCCAAAAGAATTATCTTAAGGACTGGAAAAATGAACGTGAAACTCTGAGCACCTTAGATCATTATCCTCTAAAACTGGACCCAAACCAATATCCATCAACAAGCGAATGAACCAAATGTAGTACATTTGCGACCAGCACAATGGCTCAGTGGCTAAATCCTTGCCTTGCAAGCACCAGGATCCCCTCCAGGCAACAGACCGTGTTCTGGCAGCACCACTTCCCTTCCAGCTCCCTGTTTATGGCCTGGGAAAGCAATAGACAATGATCCAAGGCCTTGGAACCCTGCACCCATGTGGGAGACCCATAAGAAGCTCCTGGCTCCTGTCTTCAGATCAGCTCAGCTCCAGCAGTACGACCACTTGGAAAACAAACTAGCAAATGTAAGATCTTCATGTCTCATTCTGTAAACCTGACCTGCCTTTCCAGCAAAAATATATAAACTATATTTTTTAAGGTTTTTTAAAATATCTTTTTAAAGATGTATTCATTTTTATTACAAAGTCAGATATACAGAGAGAAGGAGAGATAGACAGGAAGATCTTCCATCCGATGATTCACTCCCCAAGTGAGTGCAACGGCTGATGCTGCATCAATCCGAAGCCGGGAACCACGAACCTCTTCCGGGTCTCCCACGCGGGTGCAGAGTCCCAAGGCTTTGGGCTGTCCTCAACTGCTTTCCCAGGCCACAAGCAGGGAGCTGGATGGGAAGTGGAGCTGTCAGGATTAGAACCGGCGCCCACATGGCATCCCAGCATGTTCAAGGTGAGGACTTTAGCCGCTAGGCCACAGTGCTGGGCCCTATTTTTTAAAGTTTTAACAATTCAGTGCATTCATGAAACAGATTGCTTATTCTCCATCATCTATAGTTTACTTCAATAGCCTCTTATTGGGTTCCCTTGTTCCTTCCAACCTATTCTCAAAAACCAAAATTATCCTTTAAAACTTCAGTCATATTACTTTACAGAATCAAAATACTACACCCCAAACATTCTTAAGAGTATTAACAAATGTTAACATATCGACTGACTTGAGCTAAAAATGCTTAGAAAAATCAGATTCCAAAAGGGCACTTTGATCTTTCTTTTGCTTCCTGAATGAAGGAGATTCAACTCCCAAGCGAAAGGTGCTCTCCATGTGCCAGAAGGAAGGGATGCATTCTCATCACCAAAGGAATTCTACCTCCAAACGAATCCCACCCTGATAGATACGGTTCAACACCAACAGCCTTAGCCCAGACTCCGTTGTCTCATTACCATTTCGTATTTACTCATTTGTCTTATCATGCTTTCACATTGTTGTGCTACGCCCAGCCTCACCTGTAAGTTTTCTACCGTAACTGCTATTGGGATTTTACTCTTCTGGTGAAGTTTCCTACGCATAAATAAAAACTGCATGCTTTGAAGTGTTCCATAATCAGACATGCTTATCTTTAAACCTTCTAGCACCTACAAGGTCTAGAATTTCTTCTCCTGTGTAATTATTTGGGATATACTTCTACAGCACGCAGTTATAAAAGTCATCAGAATCCCTCTGTGCCAGTCTATTTCCGATGAAAAGTCAAGTTCACATACTATAGTTACAGTGACACACTCTGAACATGACCTGTCTCAAGGATGAAGTCCCTTGTTAATACCAACACGTGACTAGCTACCTGTGTCATTTTCTTCTTGCCTATAATACGGGACACTTTCCACTTGGCTGGGGCGAAAACCAAGGAGAGTGGACATACAGTCTCACAAAAGCAAAAAATGATTCCAACACGTTGTACAAAGTCCTTTAAGAGAATGTTCTTTCTCCTCATCAGCTGTATTCTATTAAACATTTATCATCTGAGTTTTATTCCAAGAAATCCCAATTTCCAAAAATACCTCTCTCTATAGAGTACAGAACAAGAAATATTATCGAAGGATTATTTGATATGTAAAATTTCTTATCTTGGTACAATATTAAAATGATTTTAATATAGTGCTAGTTTTATTCTACAAGTCAGACTGCAAATAAAGTTAATTCAGCATTAATTGTATCAAGTCCTCTGAATTATTGGCTTGTCCTTTTTTTCTACTGTCATACTGAAAACTCAGAAGTAAAAGCAGGTAAGTGGCTGAATTTCTCTGGTCCCTGCAAGCACAAGTGAAAGTCGGATACCTTACTGTAATTCAGTAAACTGCTGAATTTACACAAGTAAAGCTTGTTATCAAGTGGGTAATTTCATTTTCCGATAGTTTTGAAGAGTTAATTTTATAGCACCTAACAGCTTCTAGTTACCTTCTCTTCAGATTATGACCAACTAACATTTTAGAGCACCTGGGCTGCACACCTATAATACGTAGCTTTGCTTTGGCTTATCCTTACCTGAAAGACACTGTATCTATAGCTTAGCATCACACACATGCAGCCCACACCCGAAGGGACAGATACAACTTCCATAGTGGCAAAATGAGTATCTGAGAACCATGAAATCCTTTCTGAAGCAGTTACATAAGGAATCTGTCAGAAGCTGTGAAAAAGATCCCACCCCACCAAGAACTAACTATTAGGTGTATTCTACCCACAAGCTCTGCCAATCATTTGCTCAGTTCCTTTGGTGGATGTCTTAACTGTGAAGGAGAGAGTTTACTACACAGCAAATGAAAGGAAACCAGGATAGTCAGTAAGGTCCCATCTAGATCCAAATTCTGTGAATTTATGTTTAGATCAATGCCAATGTAGGTATAAGTTAACGCATACTCAGAAAAGGGAAAATCATCTTAATTATTAAACTAGAAATCACATAAACTGGCAAAATTATTCATACTATTACTTTTCAGTAACACACAATAATCCAATAAACAATAAAATCAACAGGAGTTGTCACAAGCATTTCATGACATTCAGAAAAATCACAGTGCCACCTATAGCTGGCTTGTTGCTGTTACACTTTCAGGTAACAACAAAACAATTTAGAGCCAAGTATCAAAACTCAGATATGAAAACAACTGCTCACCCTACACACCAAAGAATCACCACCTTCATATTCTGATGTTGTCCCTGACTACTAATAATCACACATTCCAAGAAATCATTACTATTTTAACAATTTATGTTTCACCTGACTTCCAAGGAAAATAAACTCCACAGCTACTACACACTGATGTTTACAGGCCTTTGCAAACACAGAAAAAGTCCAGATAGCAAAGAGCACTAAAGACAGATACCTTGGATGGGAAAGCCAGTGGAAACCTGCAGCTGACCCCAAGAGCTCCGACTCTGCCAAGTGGATGCCGTCTGTCCCAGCTCTGCATTCGCCCTTCACCACACTTAGGAAGTTTTCTCCTTCTCTTTAAATAAGGCAGCAACAATTACTGTATTTGGTAAGGAGCCTTTATCAGCCAGCAGCCAATTATAAAACTTCCTACAAGTAGCCGTTAGGGCTTCGGGAGTTAAGTATTTCCTGAACATGCCTGCAACCAGGAAATGCACAGATTGGTCAGGACTCAGAAGCCAAAGTTCCAGTTCTCTTTAAAAATCAACAGTCCTTTCGATGATGCTATTCAAACAATCACAAGTGTCTCACCCAGAGCGTATCATTCTTCCTCCTCTTAAGATCCAATGATACACAGATGGACTTCATTAAACATTAAAAAGGTATACAAAGAATACATGCATAAGTTTCCTGTTTTTAGAAAAATAAGTAGGTCAATTCTTATATAACAGGAGCTTAACTGCCTGACTTCTTATTAATCTTTGTATAATAATTTTAAAGAGCACAGACTCATTCAAGTGCAAAAAAATAAAAATAGAAGCAAAGCACTAGGAAACATATCCACTAAACTGAAAAAAAAAAAAAGAAAAAGAAAAACACGTGCCCAGTAAGAAGGAATAAAAATTCAGGGACGGTACAGAAAAGAAACATACAGGTTTTGGCAGTGACCCAAGTCTTCGGGTGAGGTGAGAGTCCCTTTCTAATTCTACTTTGCTTAAGAAATGATTAACATTAGTTTACACACTGTTCAAGAAACCTGGAGGAAACAGTAAGAATCTAGTGGCATGAAAAAGGTCACTAGTTTAACATGATGATCATTTTTGGTCACTGAATGTTACTTCCATTTGACTTTAAAAAAAAAAATTCCTCTTCCAAAAGTGGAAAATGATGGGAAGGTGTCTACACACCATGGAGCAA